ACTCGCTAAGAGTGCCCGCAACCTGCTTGTCGCCCACAGCCGCTTGTTCGCGTTCGCCGTTGGCCTGTACGGAAATATGGCACGCATCTATCGCTTCGATCACGCTGCCGCGGTCGTCTCCCAAGCATTCAACTATGTTGAGAATCCCGAGATCCTCCACGAATTCTTCTGGCGCTTCGCCAATCCCATCAATCCAGCTTGTGGCGTTGTTGGCGACGACCCCACTATCTCGATGCCCAGCCACGAGGACAGGGCGTTGGCAAAGAGGTTGTTTGAGAAACACAAGGGCGAGCAGTTCACAGGGGAAAATAACAAAGTATGCCGGTGGATCATCTGCAAAAGACCTGACGGCGCTATCGAGCGCTACCTCACATACCGACTCGTCTTCATGAATCCACACCTCTTCTCGCGTGCCACGACCGTCTGGGAAGCATTCAAAGAGGGCGATGGGAGTGGCAAGACCTATGTCATCAAGGATGCCTGGCGGCAAGGCGCCCGACGTTTTGAGGAGGAGTTCTACAAGGACATTCGCGAGGGCGTCGCGGAACAGCACGATCTTGAGGAGTTGTGTGATATCGCGGAGGAGGAATTGCAGTTGCGCGGACTAGCGGAGCTCGAGTATGCCATCGATCTCGGTGAGGAAGAAATGAATGCTCACACGCACGAAGAACGGAACGATCCGGTTTCGCCTGCTCCCTCGTCGTTTGATTGCCAGCCTTTGTCCGACGACGGTTTTTTTGGACCCCCTGCGTACGATACGGACCAGGACGGATCTGCTCCCTCACCACCACCACCACCGTACGAGTCTGACGACGAGGCTCCGCCACCATACGAGTCGGGGCATTGCACTGCATCCGCTGCGATCCTGGACAGAAATATGGCCAAGTACAACGAGCGAAGCCATACGCGCCTAATAATGAAGACTGTTGGGCGACCCATTTCCCAGTTCGAGAGCACGAAGGAGATGATCGAGGCATTGCGCGATGCAATTGAAGGTAGGGCATTTTAGTGATACCGGATATATCTTGTTCAACTTCCTTGTGTTAGGTCACGGGATCGCGTACAAGGCTGGTGTTTTGCACCGGGACGTTAGCGAAGGGAATGTCCTCATCGCGGAGGATGCACCTTTGAAAGGCTTCATTGGCGATTTCGATTACAGCTTCAACTGGAAGCGATTCTTGCGGGAACGTGGCTGGAAGGATACGCTTGAGAGCTGGCAACGTTATATCAAGACTCACGAAGGCATGCCGGATGAGAGCGCAAATGCAAAGGCATCTCAGCAAGACTTGAAGGACAGCGAGTTGCGGAATGGCCTCAAAGAAAGAACGGTGCGTAAGCTATGTGACATACGTTACTCGGTATGACTTACAGCCTACCAGGGTACCTTCTACTTTATGGGGATTGAGGTCTTACAAGGCAACATTATTCATGATGCATGTCATGATCTAGAATCTTTCTACTGGCTCCTCGTATGGCTTGCCCTCAGGCATACAGACCATGAACACGAAGCTGGAAATCTAGCATGTTCAAGACTATTCGATGCAGACAACGAATGGTCATGCCAAGACAGCAAGGTAGCATGGCTCAGAAAGCCTGGATCAGTGAAAGTGCGAGGAAACGCACCTCTCACGCATTTGCTTGAAGAATTTACCACACAATGCTTCCTCAACATTCCCCAGCACAAGTATGTGCCACTTGTTCCCCTCACACACAAGTCGGTATTAGGTTTATTTGACATGGCGCTGGGAATGGATGGATGGCCGAAGAATGACGTGGCCCGACCTTACAAGATGCCAAACACAACAGCCACCCGCGTTGATGTACGACCACCTCCTCAGACCACTAGCGGAAAAACTGGAAGTAAGCCACCTTCCAGTCGCTCCAGACCTCTATCTGCAGCGGGTAGGCCACCTCGTTCCCAATGTGGTGGACGTCTCGTCCCCACAACAGGTAGCCTGGCGCAGGGTGAGACATCTGGCCAAGAGAAATCGGCCAGCAAAGCGTCGCAGCCCAGGAAGTGTACCCCCAATACTGCAGAACAGGGCGTTGAATCCTTCCGGCCTCAGCCGATGATAGCGAGCACAAACTCGTGGTCATTGATGCCATCCGCTGCTTGGCCAGTCACATCTTCTGTTGTCCAGGGTTCTGTCCGGTCGCGTCAGGTCATCACATCCCAAGTCTCGCCCACTAGCAGTACAAAACGCACTCGCGACGTTGTGGAGAAGGAGAACCACTCACCATCGAAGAGGCGGAAAAGCGTAAACGCAAGTGCACCATCGACGACGTGTAATTTCATCGCTGCTCGCTTTGTCTTCGCATGCTCTCACACTCTCCTCACTATACTTGCTACCTATCGTTATTGCTCTTCCAGCACATTTGGTTTTCTGTGTCTCATATATTGTACCCGTTGCGTTTTAGGCGTCCCAGGCATCCTGTCTGTGTTGTAGATATGTCGACCCTTTCCAGAACAGCATCTCCGGTTTCATACATACCCATTTCCCTGTCATTCAATACCGCTTGTAGATACCCACTGTCACTCCAATGAAGTTCTGTTGGACCTTCTGCGCCTTGTCTGTTACGCAAAGCATGTAGCCGTGATTTGCAATACAATAAGAAACAGGGATGTGTTCGAGCTCTTTCGGATGGAGTAGGAGGGAATCACTTGTCATCATAAGACATTGACATGGGAGAGATGCAGGAACGGTTGAGGTTGCTGGGTTGTTGAAGGAAGGCGACCAGCGCTTGACCGTGATGTGTTCTCGGATCCTTCAAGGCTTCATCGACGACCTTTCCCGACTGGTCAGGCTTACTACTACATAGTACCAATTATGCAACGACCCGTTCCTTGAGGCCTAGAGGTTAACACACCTTCACATCCTGATACAACGCAGAATCTGGTATTAACATTCTCATGGCCTTTATTGCTGGCGTCGAATGCACCAATGACACAATTAATAGATCCAAAATAAGGCTGTGAGGACTGACGTCGATGGTTTCGTTCTACACTTCCGGTCATCCACAGCGACTGTCGACACGTATGCCACCTTCGACCCGTACTATACAGTACTCTACCTGACAGGTAGACTTCGACACAAATCCAGCCCATGGTGGCGCTGTCGCTGTCGATCTTTTGCAAGTCCCCATGTCAGGAGCTGTGAGAAGGGATGTCAATGGGATATGACCCGATGTGCTTCACCGATATGGTTTCTCTTTTTAGTGAGCGAACAGGTTCCGTCAGGAGACGCGTCTGTGGGCGACCCCGTCGAGCTGGGGACACGGTGGAGCAAAGCATTCAGTTTAATTCCGATATAGATGTTGTATCATGGTTGATTTGGTTGGGTGCGTACACGTATCGTCCTATGTATGTTGCCCATATGTGATAGTACTGACTGCGCCCTACGTGCAATTCTATGAACCGAGCACTTGACGTGTAAATTGCAAAACTTTCAGGCCTCAGATCTTAGGCGAGACTTGTGCTCTGCAATGATGCTCACCAACGACTACGAATCAACATCCTCGCTCTGGAAGCCACTCTACTCAGGCTTGCAAGAGAACGATCAACAACGCAGCTATTGGTGGCAGAGCCGATTGCCCTGAAGAACTCTATGACATCGAATTTGTGGGAGCGGAAATCTGGGAATAACTCTTTGCAGTCTATTTACGAAGTTGGTGAAGCCAGTCTCTGCATCCCGCGGGCAAGCCATCGGAGCAGTAGTCCAATTTCTCCTAAATGTTGGTCGTCTCATTTCTCACTGTCTTCATCTCAAGCTTACGACAAGGGCTGTTCAGCGTGGCTTTGTCTATCTCCGGTAAGTGCACTGTGATCGCAAAGGTGCTTAGGTACTCATGATATCCCCAACTTATCCTTGACCCGAGCACGCTCGTTTTGTTCCTATGTTGTACTGACACGAGGGGTCTATAGATAGGCCATGCCTCCTACTGGTCTTATGTTGTTGCAAGTTATTTGGCTACTACTGCACCAACCTGAGGTGCAGGATGGAGTTGTAGGAAGTGTATGGTATCACCAATTGTGCGGCGTTCAAATCCCGGAGCGAAGAACATAAGCGCGCTTGGGTTCTATGAAGGATGTCGTCTGACCCACACGTACTTCTGCTCTCTCGTTATGAAAGAAATGTGAGATCTACATTCCCCTGAGTTTTAGTGAGGCTGTAGTGGCCACATCAAAACTTTCCAGCGTGGAACATCTCGAAAGATACTCCTCAACTCCACTGCGACATCGAATCTGTCGCACATTCTCCGCACGAGATCCCACTCAACTGGGGTCTGCTGCGTACCATTTATTGGAATCCTTCTTTTCGGCTGTTCCTCGCATGTGCGGCACATCAAGCCTCGCGCAGTGGGAGTATCATCGCTTACAGTCGAATATCCATGTGGGGAGATGGGAGGGACGTCAAGCGTGACTACCTGTAGCGTTGGCAGCAGTGGGAAGTATTTGAGGGGCGTAAGTATGGCCCTCGACGTACAAGTGGCGGAGGCGGGGCAGACATGCGAGCAGCTGGCGTGGGACGGCTGCCCTGTCGTTGTACGTCCCGCACTGGTTTTTCGAGAGTCGGCTGATGCGAAGATAGCTAACACGCTAGAGGAGCACCTCGGGCAAGATTTGAGCGCATTGGTACGTGCAGGACTCTGGCCAGGAGAGCTGAAGACGCTCAAGAGCAGGACGTTCTGAGAAGAGGACAAGGAGTTCGTTCAAACCTTGATCGTAGCTGAAGCAAAAGCCTCTAAGGTCGAACTGTGCAGAGACGCAGTGCATGCCGACAAAGGCATGAAGCCCGGTGTAGAATTTCGTCCAAGTGAGTTCAGGGTCTCGCATATGATCACCTAGCGCGAGATGTAGATATGCTCTGGTGCTTTCCCCCGGTGTTTCTGAGACGATGAAGCCGGCGGGCGAAGACAAGCAAGCAGGAAGTGTGGTGTGTTCAACATACTAACGTGGCGAACTCGCGATAACGCCAGACATCCATTAGAAGCACTAGGATGACATGTCAAAGGACCATCTGTCCCGCGAGTGTCCTCCGAGCCTTGTTCGCGTCTTAGAGTGAATCGTAGAGGTGCCAGCAAGCATGGTCATCCTGGCAGCACAGCCAGGCATTCTCCAGGAGCGCTTCAAGCACTTTGAGTAGGACTGGAAAAATTCCGGACCATCGGGCATATATTGCGAGATTTTCTGCCAAATGCAAGATACCTATTGATATGTCATGCATTCATGGTGTTTTTAGCAACGTGGGGGCTCACCATGACAGTCCACTGCACAGTACTCAACACAAATATGATGATATGTGGACTATGAGCCGCCTGTCAAACGGCTTCGTTGTCAGTGTCGTGGTGCTGGATAGTGAAGACTACGTGTACGCATCGCTTTGGCAGTATTAGGCATGCATGAACGTACCTCGCGGTGGTAGCATGGGGCCCAAACAAATCGGAATAGATTGACTGTCGTCGGCAAGAGCGCTCATGTATTCATCCGCCCAGCCTGTGGCCAAGCATCGTGATGCAGATTGCTAGATGTGACTATGCAACTTACGAAGAAGTCGACTACTTTATGATTTAATTTGCTGTGTGCATGTCGATTGCAAACATCGATTCTCCCGGGCGTCGAATGAGTGTGCTCGCACCTGCATGTCACTATCACTGGAGCTTCAGCTTGCTTCAAGCTTAAAATTATTAAACTCTATAGAGGCTCCGAGAAATCTAAAGCCCAGCGTTATGTCAGAATAAATCTAGACACCGCAGGCAAAGGACCATATGCTCACGCCTAGATCGGAGTGGTGAGGTTATCTCATGTCCCAGTTGCTCACTTGTCTCCGAGTGGGGCTAGCCATCGCCAGATACATGTAATATCCTTTGATTGCACGCTGTTCAGCGGAGGACCTAATTATTTTCAAATTGGTTCGCATATGATGCTGTGTGCAGAATAATTTGACTGATCCCACTCATCTTGTCATAGTAGATAAGCCCTATGGGACTCGGACTCACCAGGATTAGCACCATGCTAGCTACCCCAACACGACGTTCAAATGCTCAACGTTCAATGCTTCTTGGGCAATGGGGACTGACTCAATTCATGGTTCAGAGCAGAAACTTCGTGTTGTAAGCTTCGAGATATTGTCATGCTACGAGCAACATGCCATGCTATAGACAATTCGCCCTCTACCCTCACGAGGTCATCGGAAATCGCATGCATTTCTCACGCTTCAGCCGAGACGACTCAGTGTTCATTTCATTGTATGTCGCTTAAATTTTTTCCAATTGCTATCGCCCGTTCGTAAATGCTCTCCATACGATTTTACTCACTATTGCTTAGCATCCATTGTTCCAAATATATATGCGGTGACCTTCACTCACGAAAAGAATGCTTACATATTTGAATATGATGGAGGAACATGCTCGCACGAAGCCAACTCAAATGAAATCCCAGCTAGGCCTCCGAACGCTTTGCATCTTCAACTTGGTATCGAAATAATCGTATCTACCTTGTGGACATGGGTTGTAAGGCTTTCGAAAACCATCTAGGACAAGCCGAAGACATAAGCCTGCGGAAACAGATGAAATCATACAAGTCTTACGGAACGAACGCGCTTACATTGGGCTCACAAGTCCCTTTCCCAGTTCTGCATAAAGGTGTCCTGCCCTTCGGCGCTGATGATACCACGAGCATGAAGTAGAGGTAAGTGATTTATCAACTCCGTCCGCAGCTGCGCGGTGTTATTTGCGAAAGAAGGCAAAATCCAATCAGAGTAATATGCAACGTGAGCGATCTCGAGCTGGCTGAATTTTGCGCTTGCCAATAGGGTATCCAGGTCTTGCCATACACTATGAAGGTCAATGGGACGCCCACGATCCACTCTCGGGAGGCCTAGTTTCAAGACGCGGAGTTTTCTCCCATGTACGTTTGTCAGGATGCTTCGGACCCTCTTGAGACTGTATTCGGGATCGAGTTGCCAGGAATTAAGCAGCACTATCTTGATCGACAAGCAACGCAAGTTGATCGCACTTGAGAGATCCACTTCATACGCTATCAAATGTTCCAGTTAAGTATACTGACTCAGTGACTGCAAAAATAGTATAAAACACTTACGTTGAGGTGCACCCGAAGGGGAGTATAACAATAATCTTACAGATTGCAGGCACGAACCGAGGAGGGAAATAAAATTCTGTAGCACAGGGATGCCTCCTGGATCAATGCCTTCTACAGAAAGTGTATGGATTGAGGTCCGTGATGGCGTCTGGAGAATCCACTCTCTGAATGGTTTCACTGAAAAGTGGGATTGCGTGTCTCTCTCAAACGCATTTCCCCAATTGCATCGGACCAGGTCGAGACGAGCGAGAGACGGTCCTTTGGTGCGATGAAGTCTTGGGATCGCATCTCCCTCCCAGGAGCAAGCTTTGAGACGGAGATATGATAGCGAGGGAATGTTCGTGACAAAAGCTGTTAGGTTCCCAAGGGTACCAAAATTGCAGCGTCGAAGGTCGAGATAAACCATAGAGGTGAACATGGCGGTCATGGTGAAGAAACTGGGGTGCAATGCGAAGCAGCTCCAATTCAGATAGGATATTCTGACGGAGTTGACCAGACGTATGGTGTGTGCAAGCACGACTGGTATTAGGTGCACCATGCTTGACTTATGTGCACAGACTTTCCCCTCGTCGATGAATAGCTCCCGCATGTGCGTCCTGAAGTACGGGGCTATATGCGATTCGCGCAAAGTTCTTGTCAGAAGGTCCAACTCGTGGCGATTCCGTATATATACGCGTTGGTATAGATTGAAACGGCTTCTGGTGAGCCACAAACGGCAGGTTAAGGAGCAGTTGATCAGTGTGTAACGTCGTTCTAGTCCATTCTTCCATGCGCCAACCGCATCTATAATTGCTTCGCACACCTCTATCGGAAAGAACCAGACAACGGATGACCTATAAGTCAGCTGTGTGAGCCTAATGCTGCATAGGTAGGTGAAATGGCAAGAGACATACGCAGGAAAATTATCACGGTTAAGTCCAACTTCGACTGGAGGATAAGTGTGGCTGGCCATCCCTCAGCGTCGGTGATATTTCGCGTACCACACTGCCAGTAGATGTCAGTACGAAATCGCTGGAGCACCAGTAAATTCTAGCGTGTTTTATATAAGATTTCGTTGAGAATTGCGGCGTACAGCCCATCACAGCCTTTCCACCGCCTTCGCCCTTAGGTCGGCGCCAATTGAAGAGTCATAGAACGGGCACGAGCTTTGCGGTACGTTAGGCTTCGGGGCCGAGAAGAGCGGCGTAACTACGGGATGAATTCTCGTAGCGTCATGCATGTGGATCTAGATTTGGTGGGTGCATTCATCATTGCTTGAACTATAAAGGTACCACTCTGACTTTCTCAATTTCAGAATAGCCGAAATTGAATAAAAAGCCTGAACCTACAACTCTTGGAATATGCGGCTGAAGTAGTCGTTGATTTACCAGCACACTCTCTCAGAATCGTCATACACGCCGCAACGATCAGGTGAACTCCTCACAAAGGCCAATGCATTTCAATCTGCAACGACAAAACTGCTATATACTCAAACACGTCTCATCACACACTTAGTACAAGTGTCCATCTTCGAGGAACTGGCGAGCGAGGAGCTGACCGAGAATTTCTTCGCTACGACGGTTCTTGTTCTGGTTGTTGTTGTTGTTGCTATCGCCGCCAAAGCTGGTTGCAAAATCAGCGCTGCGTCCTTGTGAAGGAATAAAATAACAAAAACTCACTGTAGAAGATGTGCCGCGCCCTTCAACAGCGATCCAAGACCCAACGCTTCACTGCCAGCGTTAGTAGCATCGCGTTCCATCAGCTCGCGGCGGTTCTGGTTTTGGTTCTGGTTCTGGAGGCCGCTGTTGGTTTGGCATTAGCATGACTCAGTATCGAAGAAGTAACTGAGCAGGCACACCTGGCGATGTTGGTGCCAATTTTGAACCCTTTGAACAACGGGCCAAAACTTATCGCCTCGCTGTCATCATTGCGCTCCATCAGCTCGCGACGGTTCTGGTTCTGATTTTGCAAACCGCTGCTCATTTTACGTCAGTACGACTAAGTATCGGTGAACAGCTGAGCAAACGCACCTTGCAATATTAGTACCGATTTTGAACCCTTTGAACAATGTGCCTAAGTTCAATGCCTCGCTGCCATCATTGCGCTCCATCAGCTCGCGGCGGTTCTGGTTCTGGTTCTGGTTCTGGTTCTGATTCTGCAAGCCGCTGCTCATTCGGCGTCAGCACGACTGAGTATCAAGCAGCTGAGTGAACAGACCTAGCAATATGAGTGCCGATCTTGAAGCCTTTCAACAACGGGCCAAAGCTAAATGCCTCGCTCCCATCTTGAGCTTCGCGAGCATAGAGGCTATCGAATTCTCGTTCGTAGAGGTTGCTGTTGTAGGGTCAGTATAGCCAGAGAACAGAAAACGCACGGACTACAACGTACTTCACAGGGAAGGCTAGGGCGGGGAGGGCGACGGCGCCGAAGGTCATCAACATAGAAAAACGCATGATGTATAAAGGTGATGAGCTGAAGTATAGAGCAAAGAAGCAGCAGATGTCGTGAAGGGAAATATGCAAATGAATGTAACAAAAGTCAGACTGGAAAATAAGTGGCGTGAGTTCAACCCGCTTCTAATGAGACACGAATGAAAGGGAACGCACCAACCAGTGTCGACGTTTGGGCTCGAATGAAAAAGTGAGGAGCTGGAGAACTCAGCTGGGCCCGGTAGGTTTTTATACCTGAGCACAACCCCATTTAGAGAGCCTATCAACGGAGTAGCCGCGCAGGTGTCCGGCATCACGGCGAGGCAGGGAAAGCTTAGTACTCCCAATAGCGCCGAAGCTGTCCCCCGGCACACTGTAAGCCGAATGAGTTTGCAGGAGATTGAATGGAAGCAAAGATGGCCGCAGATGCGCAGACCACTAATTTTTTTTAACTTAGCGATCTGAGTGACTGAACAGTGTGACAATGCCAAAAGACTCAGTCAACGAGCACAACATTGCAGTAAAACGATGCATAAAAGCATCCTGACCTTGAAGACTAGAGACAGGGCCTGTTATTCACCAATTGTTGGAATGAATGTTCAGTTGATGCAAAGATATAAGGAAAACCCATATGCAATATCTAGCGCAGTTATTCATCAAACAGTGCGGGTACTGCTAAGCACTGAGTAGCAGTCGGGGTGCCCTTCTTTGGAGTTCTAGCCCCTTTGCAGGATTCTGCAACGGAATGAACGACGCCGGTGGTTCCCACAGATACAAGAGACAATCTATGCAGTCAACGAATGGCAAGCGGAGAGAGCGATGTGACTTACATGCAGTCTGCATGAGGAGCTGTACGCAGGGCGCTATAAACCGGAGTGTTAGTTTGCTGAAATCATGTGTCATGTCCGAGCTTGTCGCTACACACGCCAGAGCTCATGCCATAGTATTAGCCAGATATACTCTAGGGTCGTCACGCAGCAGGCGGGCGTCCATATTGGTCATACGTGAACGTAATGATCCCACTCAGCGAGCACGAAGGAATCCAAGAGTGAGAAAAAGGTGTTCATTTCGCCGTTTCGACATACGTCGGGCAAGACTTATATTTCATAGCCATAATTTACTTTGGCGTATGAAGAGTGGATCGATATGGACAGTGGTTGAACTTTCAACTCATAAAATTTTGCTCTCAAAGAGTCCAAGTGCCTGCCCGTCTAGGTAGTTGGTTAAGACACTCTTTGCTTGTGTGTAATAAGTCACACACCTGGTCACATAGGCATCAAATACGCATCTGGAAGAAGGTTGTTCCCATGAACAACATGCTGAGGCATCAACACTAGTGTCATTGAACGTGGTCATTCCTGCATACGTACATTTTGCTTCTAATGGCGTCAAACTTGGACCCCGTTTCACTAGTAGGTTCAACTTTCGGTTTCGAAGAGGGGGCACACATGTGTAGGGTAAATCAGACGGAAGACATCTCGACGTGGCGAAGTTGCAACAAAGGAACGCACACAACGATGTGTCGATCACATTTTATCCGGTATCCGAGTGGATTCTGGGTCTCTTGTCGCCTCTAGGTTGTACTGCACGTTCTTGCGGTACTTGGTAACGAGGTCCGCAGCCGTCTTGACATGCGCGTTTGCGCGGATGATCTCCTGTGTCCCATCGCATATATTAGCATAGACGGCCGAAGCGGTGAAAGATCACTGCGCGACGACACCTCTAGACACTGGTTGAGCTCTACAATGGTTTCCGTGCACTTGTCCTATGTGATTCGGAATGCGAGAGATGAGACAATAGTGGCTGAGATTGCGTGCAAGGTGAGGGAGCGCACCGCATTTTTTATGATGCGCTGGAGGAGCACATTTTGGCGTTCCGCGTGTGGATTCTCCATTGTTCGGGAGATGTGCAGGGGGGAAAGAGTTAAGAATGATACTACAATCGTGAATAGGACGTGACGAGCTTGCGCAGAGCGACTGAAGGCGATCGATAAGTTCGGTTGTTGCCGTGCACAATGCCACCAACGCCAGCCAGCGCCACCGTCTCTTCCGCGTACTCACCGCTGCCTAGTGCCTGCAGTTGATGCCACAGCTGTTTCATGCCAATACGACACAATTCTACCCCCGTAGCTGTGAGGTTTTAGTAATTTAAAGATAGAAGAGCCTTTGGCTACACGTGGAGTAACTTCGATAGCTCGACTGGCAGTCCGCTACATGGACCGATGAATGAAAAATAAATGAAATCAAACGATTTTCTGCTCGTTGCAGCTGAATAGGTACAAACCACTCTACCTCGAAGTGAATTGATGGGCTCTTTGGTATTATTGTCTTGAGCCTCACGCAAACTCTGTCAGTTAAATGAAGACCAATCGTGAAGGATTTACTCCCGAAGGCAGGAAATCGACGTGCTCGATACGCACACAGGATATATAACATAAAATCGTACAAATGCACCACAGCACAGGTTGTGACCAAGAACAAAACGTCCCAATGCAACAAAATAGCACACGCGCATTCATGTCCTGGACAACGCTTTTCGCGCCTCTTCACTAGCCCTATGTGCTTTTGCAATTGATGGCCTGACGTTCGCCGCTCTACCGGGCCCAATATTTACCACAGATGCCGTGCGTAAAGCGGCTCTACCGCTGCCTAACGAGCCCTTCTCACTGTTTGCCGCATTCGCCGCATTGACTACAGCCATGGCGCGCAGCGTCGAACCACTCTTCCTCGGTGCGTTACGAGCTCCGGCGGTGGGTTTTGGCTGAGCTGGCGCAGATGCCGTCCTCGCAAAAGCTTCGCGATCTTGTTTCTTCAAGAACGGGCTTGGGAGGTTTTCTTCGTCCGACAAGTCGTACTCGGGTGCGGGCTTCGAAACTATAGCGTTCGTCGACTTTGCCGACGACGATGCCGATGACGCAGAGGATGGAGGACGCGAGGGCTCTTTGCTTCGCGCTGATGTGGAGGGCACAGGATCAAGCTGCGGACGCTGGGAAGACGCGCGGATCGATGGCCGACGTAATCGGGTCGGTTTGGTAGCAGGAGACGGTTGCGGAGTTTTATCATCTTCGCAGTCTTGCTGTTGTGGACGGGCATCACTACCCGCGCTCGCTCGTCGAGAAGACGAGGGTTTCGTATCTGTCTCATAGCCATCCTCCTCACCTTCTGAGTCAAAGTCAAAGATTCTAGCGAAGTTGAGGCCTATCTTGGGCGTGTCGACAAATAGCTTTGCCAGCTCCGCCGGAGTGGGAGTGGCCACCGGCTCACCGGTAGCAGTGAGAATGACGCCCTTCATGGCCGACGGAGGCGCAACATTGCCTAGCGTAGCTTTCATGGCAAGGGGTCGCGGTGTCTCGAAAACGTCAGCACTTTGGATGGGAGCGCGAACAGGTGTGCGATCCGGCGCCTCAGCAAGGCGAGCTAATGGGGCGAGGATGTTCTTCACCTCCTCTAGAGGCGTCCTTGCTGTCGCTACACCTGAGTACCAGCCATAAGCTGGATACAGCAATTACCAAATAGAACAGAGACATACCCTTCCGCTCATTTGCCTCTAATGTGACAGCCTTACGTTCCAACTCAACCTTCAGCCCGTCCAATCTTTCCTTCTCTTGTTCGATGTCCTCCACCTGCGCCCGAACCCACTCCATTCGCTCTTCAACGGCCTTCCCCATGGCCTCACGCGTCTGACTTTCCCACTCCGCCCACATTCGCGCGATTTCCTCTTCGCGCTTGCGGACGGCTTCCATGATCTCTTCCTCGCGTCTCGCCATCCTTGCTGCCACCTCCTCTTCGTGTTTCAGTACAAGTGCGCGAAGTTCCTCATCTCGGCGTGAAACAGCCTCACGGACACGTGTCTGTAACAAACCTTCCGCTGAGGCAACGAGCGTACGCAGTGACGCAATCTCCTCATCTTTTGCGGTAAGCTTGGAGTTTAGCGACGCCTCCTGTTCCGCCGCTGCAGCTTCGCGTGCAATGAGATCCCGCTCTCTCGTTTGGAGGGCTGCTTTGTGCGTCTTCACAGTGTTGAGTCTAAGAAGGCACGTCAGGCTGGATTTTTTCAGTCAAAGAGAGAGAGACATACAGCTTCTGCGTCTCCGAAACCTTGAAAGCTAATTCTAGTCGCTCATGACCGAGCAGCTGGGCCGCCGATGGGCGCAGCGCAGGCTTCGCAAGACTTCAGAAGTGAACAAAACATGGCTTGAATAATGCACATACGTTGAGATTAAGCATTGATTTGATGATATTCGTTAACGCAGGACTGTAGCCCTTGGGTAGTGGTGGGATTCTCCCATTCCTGAGGGATATGAGGAAACCCAATTTGTGTCATCAGATAGAGCATACCTGATTAAGAGACTGAGTTCCGTATGGGTTTTCGCCTCATGAAATGGTGGCTTGAGTGCACATAATTCATATATCAAGCACCCCAGGGACCATATATCAGATTTGTTGTCATAAGCCCGCTCTTGCATCAATTCTGGCGACATATAATAGGGTGTCTGCAAATGAAATTTAGAGGATCCTTATGAAACGATGGAAGTGACATACGCCAACGTAGGTATTAGCGAAGCTGGCCTGCGTGAGGGCCTTTGACAGACCAAAATCTCCGAGTTTCGCGGTGTTGCTCTCGTCCAAAAATACTATTCGCATAGGTCAGAACTAGGTGAAAGACTTTGTCAAAGGTATCACCATTGTCTGGCTTGATGTCTCGGTGAAGAACTTGCGGCCTCTTTTCTCGGCCGTCTGACTCGCAAGTCCCAGCGCTGCTTGAGCGTCCGTACCCATTAGGATGGTGACAGTAGTTCAGCGCAAGGAGAATTTGCATAAAATAGCTCCAGACTGTATCTTCGGGTATAGGTCGGCCTTGTCGTTGCGCGAGTTTGATTATGGCGGAGAGGTCCCCTCCTCCGCAGTACTCCATGAGGATGTATAACATTCCGGCGTCGCGGTCAACATATCTATCGTGATAGCGTACAATGTGTTCGTGATGAAGGTCTTTCAGAATGTTACTTCGTCTGGCTTAGCATGTGGCTACGACGTGGATATAACGAAGGCTTACACTTCGGCGACAATTTGTTTGCGATCGCGCTCTGACATGCGCTCGAAGTTGAGCTCTTTACGCGCGAATATCTATAGGCGAAACTTGAGCTGTCTGAAGAGCCTTTATGAATTACCTACTCACCAGGCCATCCGATCTCCGGCGAACTTTTCGGATGATCCCAAAGGAGCCAGTGCCGATAACGTCGAGAGATTCATAAAGGCCAAGTGGAGAGGACATGGTAGGGAGACTGAAGGAAAAGACGGGAGACAGGTGTCGCCAAGAAGGGAGTGTGGATGGACTTTGTCGTCGCGCGTTTGGGAGGAGTCGACTCTAGAAATTCCGTTTTGGACCAAATCGAACCGCGTCGAGTCAGGTGACCGTATTTCCCCGCTCCTCGGCGATCTCCGCGCTTGCCACCGGCCGGTGGCTGGATGCTCCAGCGCTAGTCAAGCGCCGATTGAGCTTGAACCAACGGAGTCAGACTTAGCCACTGGCACATTTCCGTCCTTGGACGAGATATTTTTTTGCGCTTGAATTACTTAAAGAAAGACGTGGAATATTTATTATACGCGCACTCTGCTCATCTTGGGCGGGACAATCAACACCAACCATGAGAACGTTGAGGCCTCGTGTCCACTTGTGCAACGTGCATATCCGCAGGTGAGTGCAGAGACGCTTTAGAACGAACTACGCGGTGATGTCCACACAATACAGCTTTGCCTGACAGTAGCGCTTGTCTTATCATCTTATTCGTCACCATCTTTTCGCGACCACTTTTGCTCCATCGCAGGCGTATTACGACCTACGCCTCTCGGGAAGTGACAACATATCGTCAAGGGATATACAGAAACAGATTCGATTGTCATATACCACCAACTGTCTCGGAAATTCTCTCACATATTCAACCACAACTTCCTGGCACGGGTGATAAACCTCAAGCATGAGCAAGGATAATACTTCCTCTGAGAAGCGCAAGTTTCGGTTGAGAATCAATCGGGCATCTCTGGGCAAGATCGTGGCAGAAGGGGGGATGCGGTTGACGCGCAGCAGGTAAGCGTCGGTTTCCTGCACTATGCTGTATAACAATGTCCGCGTGGGTCGCTCCCCCATCAGTATCCGCGTCTCGTCATAGGTATCTTGACCTGTTGCATCTGCCATTTGGTCGAAGTCGGTCACCGACACCTGTACCTTCTTCTAGCCAGAGTGTGTCCCTCACTGTACCAGTTCCTCATGTGAGTACCAATAAGATGTTGACATCTCATCTGTGACCTCCGATTTGCAGCACCGACCGCATTCTAGTGCATCGATACGTGATGTCAGTGCCTCTGAGGACGGAGATCCGTACGACCCTATGTACACAGAGGAAACCATTATAAAGCCGGCTGAAAGTCTGACACTGAGGGACAGTGAGGATGCGTTCGATGGCTTGCGAGTGAACGCAAACAATCGTCTCGGCGACATGCAATCGTCAAAGTTGTCTGACATGTTGAAACCGCTGAAGGCGTTCAGCTCGGTGGCTGAATCTATCGCAGAGGTATGTCATCTGACACATCGTTATTTAGTTGAGCCTGATCGCGTTTCATAGCTCGATCTCTATGCGCAACTAGCACTTGGCATCTTGGTGTGCGCGTCCGAAGTGCGACTCTCTTCGTGAAGTATGTTGCGCATAAATGACACTCTGCCACAGGCCATTCGCAACCAAGAAAAGCGTGATGGCGATGTCAAGAACCTGTGCTTGAAGATCTCAGATGTATACTCTTTGTTGACCATGAGGAAAGAACAGGCCGCAGATCGCGCCATGGGAAGGGTGTTGGTGAATCTTGTCCAACAGGTACGTGTCTGTGTTGATTTCATTGTTCGTTATACTGAGGACAAGAGTTACTGTGAGTTATATTTGCTGTGCTGTTTCTCCGATCTTTCATGTTGTCGTTGTGCAGGGTTGAGATTGTTGAAGAACATCGGTAAGGATACAGACGCGGTGATCGGGGAGTATAATGCAGCCCCAGAGGATCATGTTCAACGGTTTCGTGACCGAAACGCTCTTCAGACGACTCTATTTATGTATAGAATCGGTAAGAGCAGATCAATTTGCCTTCGAGCGTGTCGCACCCTCAACGATGACGGCGTAGCTGAAGATGTGAGCTTGAACAACATGGAATACGCGAATGGTGTCTCCCTGAACATTTCCGAGCAATGTCTTGAAGGCACTCGTACCGACATCCTCTTGGAGATCAAGCATTGGATGAGCAGTACGAAGGACGGCACCGAACAAGTCATGTGGCTATCAGGAATGGCAGGCAAGGGTAAATCGGCAATTGCGCATACGATAGCCAGTTGGGCTGAAGCTTCTGGTGTTTTGGGATCCTGTTTCTGTTTCGATCGTACACGAGAAGGGGGCCATCTATATCAGAAGATATTCACCACTATTGCACGCGACTTGGCGGACCATGATCCTCTCGTGCGTCGGGCTTTGGCAGACGTGATCCGCGACAGCAACGAGCTAAGGCACACATCGGACATGCAAAGGCAGTGGGACAAGTTGGTTGTTGGGCCGACGCGTGCTGCCTCGAAGGTAGTTGGTTCGCCCGTTCTTATCGTAATTGACGCGCTGGACGAGAGTGGTGGATGGGAAATCCGTCAAGATTTCCTTCGCACGCTCACCGGAAGGCGGGATAAGCCCTCACCTCCCACAACCGAGCTCCCCCCAAACGTTCGCATCCTCGTTACATCTCGGCCCTTGCCAGATATTCAAGATGCTTTAAAAGGGATTCCACACATCCGATACCGATCCTTGGATGATGTTCCTCAGGAATCCTCGGAGCGCGATGTCGAATGTTATATCGCTGATAAACTGAAGTCTAGAATGACCTTCCAGGGTGTTCACTTCCGGGTACTAGCTCAGAAATCGGACGGTGTCTTTGAATGGGCTCGTCTCGCGTGCTCGTATATCATGGATGATAGTTCGATGGGGCCAGACGCTACAGGCCGTTTCAATTCACTTGTGACGAGGGGATGGGCGACTGATGCAGACTTGTTGGACGATATGTATACGCTCGTCCTGCAAGTGGCGATGCAGAAGAACCGGCGGAGAAGTGCGATCTCCTTGTTTCGCTCCGTGATGGGGCAGATCATTTCTTCGTCGGAGCCACTTTCGATGGTCACGCTCTCGGCAATACGGCAGCAATATCCAAGCGAAGATACAATACAGGTCGAACCAATCATCAGATCGCTGAGTGCGCTCCTCACTAGCACCCTAGAGAATGTAGCCCCCGTCCGTCCACTTCATGCATCGTTCTACGATTTTTTGATGGATGAGACGCGAAGTGGTGAATTCCACGTCGAGACATCGGAAGCTTAACACCATTTACTCGCCGTTGCGTGTTTGCGTATCATGAAAGCTGAACTGCGATTCAACATCTGCAACTTGGAGAATTCCTACCTGCCTAATTCCGCTGTTATTGACTTGTCACGGCGCATAGAAAGATGTATTTCTTCCCAGTTGTATTACTCCTGCCGTTTTTGGATGTCTCACTCTTTAGCTTCGCCATTTGAACCATCCCTAGTGGCAGAACTTGAGCTCTTTTTCGATGAGAGGGTACTGTTTTAGCTCGAAGTCCTCAGTCTGACACAATGTCTGAGTGGTGCTGCATCATCCTTGTTCTCAATTTTATCCAGGTTCACGGTATGTTCTTCTGTGCCTCTTTTTGTGGATCGAAAAGTGATGTTTCATCATAGGGCAAGCAGAATTACACACGTACTCAAACCGCCATAATCGACACAGAACGATTTATCCAGATGTTCTCCGCGACAATGCTGCGAAGCACACCTCACTTGTATCCATCTGCATTGCCATTCACTTCAACACAATCGCATCTTTTCCGAACAAGCCGTGCCAAATTTCCACGGACACTGACTATCACTGCTGGTGGGATGGATCTGTGGCCATCAGCGGAGAAGGTGATTCATGGACATACGGGTACCGTCACTTCCATTGTACTTTCAAACGACGGCCGACGCATTGTATCTGGATCATGGGACAGCTCACTTGCTCCCTACCTTTGAAGGGTGTACAAACTTGATCGTGTCCGTTCAAGTACGATCTGGTGACCAACACATGATATCTGGCTCGATGGATGAGATAATGCGCCTGCGTAGAGCAGATATTGGCGGGGTTCCTAATTCGTTCTATATTTGTAGTGATGTTGAGGTACTGAGATACATCTCCTACAGCCCCAGAGGAGGGATATTATCCCTCGTCAAATTCTCTTTGTTATTCGACCAATTCCGCACATGCTCTTAGGGATTCGGATCGATTTTGGCGAGATTCTCCCCCGTTCACCCTCCTCCCTGGTTGGGAGGGCTGGCGTGTGGGTCCATAAGGCCGCTTTCTGTGCTACATTCCAACCCATATACTACGGCGCTCGCTGATGCATGCTCCGAAGAACATACTAGTGATTACTAAGGATGCATTACAGCTAGACCTCAGTCGATTTGCACACGGAGACTTGTGGCGTGAATGCTACGACCCAATCCAGACTCGGTGTTGACGTCATGGATCTCTCAGCGAACTCTAGACTAATGCTATGTGCTATTGTTGTGGAGTTGCACTTTGCTTTGTCGATACTTGTGGAGGCTGCTCTGTGTCTACTATAGTTTCTGTATGTCCGATATGTCATTCTTCCCCCTTTTGAGAAGTCTCCGCGTGGGCAACCGGCAATCAATTATAAATGATTTACGGAGTGCATGAAATTGTCCAAGCGATTTTTAAAAATATACTCCAAGTTTATACTCCATACCGTATGGTACATGCAGAGTGATGAGACTAATATATAGACCCGATCGTAATGGTCGGGATCTACGTTACACCTCTGAAGGTTGCTCACGAAACGCGGCAATCCTGCCGTCCGTGTGCGTGGAGCATAGGCAGCGTCGGCGATCGAATAGGCATCGCCCGACCCTCGATGCCTGGGCGAGGATCTCAGCCCACTCAAACGTCGCGACCTGCAGATTGGGCTGAAGGAAGATGAGCACATCATCCTCCGTCCACCCAGCTTGCCGCCGGACCTGTGCTTGTCGCACGGAGTCCGGTGTATACCCCTGCACCCGAGATGCCTTGCGGCGAATCCACGGTTGTCTAAGCGATCGTTGTACAAGCACATTCAACGTGTTAGCCTCCGCCCATACGCGTCGCGTCCCCGAATGGCTTCTGCTGCAAAAGTATTGCACACCGCACAACACCCCGGTATTCGAACATCTTGTGCGCTCGTTCGGATTGGCCATTTGCCTGACCGTTCTCACACGACGCCTTCATTTTCGCCTACTCAATAGTTCCTCGCATCTACGGCCGTCTCTTTCGATGATACTCTACTGTCCGCAAATGTTGACTCGAGTAGTCCGTTAAAGACAATGGCTACCAGCTCAAGGCTGCCGATTGTAAGTACGTGTCTATTCCGGATCATGGACTCTCCCCGGACAGACCTTCGGACAACTCGATGTTTCTTGCCTGGCCTTCGATTCCAAGTCAATCTCTCACCTACTAGGATTGCTTCGTGCCTCTCAAGCTCGCGCAACTCAGCTATCGTCTGATGCTGCATCTGTACACGACGACTCACCACATTCAGTGCCCCTATATGCATATGCTCACCGTCGGCACTGGTAGAGCCTTATATCAGCAACAGCTTCATGCACTCTCACCCAACTCTCTTACCACCCGCTCAACCGTAGTCCATTATCACATTCGCAAGTAGAAAGGGCTGAATCATCGAGCACTGGGAGATCCCGTACGTTGCCCATATAGCTAAAATGCGAAAACCATCAGTGCTAGGACATCTGTGAGTCCTAAGGCAACGCAGATCGCGAGGGAGCCTCCCGAGTTTTACCAACCAGCCCTCCTTCACTGGCATGCATGATGGCGCTGACGGTCTCATGTATGGGGAACGAGGAATGTTAAACAGCAAAGATAGGCAAAGTGAGTATAGGACGACTTGGGAAATGATCTGTGTACGTACCAGTCTTGCCCCGTGGGCGGTGAGGCGATCAACAATCGAAAGGTACGGATAGTGTACAACACTCTATTGCATACGATTCCTGTTCGGTCTTGCATCGTATCGTTGTGTTCGGCCATTCAACGCGCGTACCGCGACGGTGGTATGGAAGGAAAAGCCGGGATAATGGTGTGCGCTGTCGAACTCGCAAGGCTATTATCTGAATGCGTTTTTTGAGGAGTCGTGAGATGCTATCGACTACACGGAGAAGTCAAAGCGGTGTTGTAGGCCAAATACGTTCCATGTCGTCACGATGCGCATAGCTAATAGCGCGTACTGCTGGAGGCGGCTATACACACTGCGCAATCCGGACGAATTTTGAAGCTCGTACTAGTATATGAGACGGCCAGTGCGACTCGATCCCGAATGCATGGTGTGCCGCGCAAATGCACCACAGTACTACGATCGCCCGCACCCTGCGTGCGCTCACCTCCCACCTTTGCATCCTGTTCGAGTACGTAGAATTCAGTACGTTCCGCTACTTGGAAGCGATCGTGGTTATGCTGGCATGCAGTGGGAACGGCTCGCGTTGGACTGACTACAGTAGCAACCTGCCAGTGACTTGAGCGGCAGAAGGCAAGCGGGGAGTGCCGAGCGCCGATGTTAATGGAATGGTGAGCTTTGGTGGCGACGTACGGTCCATCGACACGCGGGAAGAATGTGGCCACACGCGGCCGTACGTCGCCTTTGATTTTGTATTCTCTGCGGCGGTGCCAGGTGGACAAGATGACGCGGTCGGCTGGTTGGAAGGTAGGGGCCAGTCTACGGTGGAGGTTGGCAAAGTGAGGCTGGTGCAACTTGGCCTCAAGTTCGAGGAGGTGATCCCGAGCATCGGCTAGATCGGAGGTGAAGGTACGGAGGACGTGGTCAGCAATTTGCTGTGGAGTGCGCAGCGTGGGGGTGGACTGAGTCAGAATCATGAGTGGGATGAGACGGGGCGCGCGGCCAAAACAAAGTTGGAAATTTGACAAGTCGATGGATTCATTGAAGAAGGACATGATGTCGGAACGCACTCGAGGCACTGGCAGCGCGCGCACCTAATGCCGAGTCCTTTCCATGGCCGTCTGAAGCCCCCCTCATGGCTTCTCCCTCGAAATTACGCGAAGTAGTGTTGTTATTGCAGAGCATACGGGGATAATAAAAGGCAGTACAGACGGATTACATTACACCAGAACAGCTCAAAGCGATGACACTAACACTTGTTCGAGAAGCTGAGGGAGCCCAGACTGGGGGTGGAGAACCCCGAAGTGCGTCCCCGGGAGCGTGTACAACTCCGCATCTGGGGCACGTAGATCTACATCGAAAGCGGGAGAGAGGCCTTCCGACATGGATTGACGACGAAGGCCATCTTCCGCAACGATAACGACCGTTCTCGTAGCAGGCCACGGCTTTTCAATCACCCCAGCTTGCTTCTGCTGCATTGCCGTGATACAAGCACGAGCTGCCATGAACACATGTGCGACATATGCACGACCGAACTGCGACACAAATTTGCCGCTGGCACCGCCCTGTGCAACTTGCTTGAAGTGGTCCTCGAACATGGTGGTAAGTTCCTCGCCGCTATCCAGCGTCCCGCTGGTGGCAAGATCACGGATAAGGGTCATGATCTGTGGCAAAGTCAACTATCGAACAAGCGCATTCGCTGGGCGACGTACTTCGTCTCGCATGTTGCTCAAATTGAGTTTCTTGCCGAAGTTCTGGAAAATGGCTGGCGAACCGTCGATCATGATGAGCAGCTCGACCGTCTCCCCTTCCTCCTGCAGCAATTGCGCGATCACAAGAGCCACAAAGGTGCCTACAAGATGGTATTCTGTGTCAGCCGGGTAGATGTAAGATTGATGTCTACGTACCGAATGAGAAACCTCCGAGACGGTAGGGACCTTTGGGTTGCTTCTCTCGAATTTTCTCCATGTAGAATTTGCACAGTCTGTCGAGGGTTCCGGTAATGGGCGCATCCGGTGTGTCTTGAACACCATAAACAGGACAGGTCATCATTTCTGCCGTTTTCAGCATGACGAGAACGCCGCCGCCAGCACCATGTATGATGAACAAAGGATGTCCGTCCGTGACGTTGTTCAATCGAACAATCGTCTTGTCCATATCAGCATGATGAGCACCTTCGGCTCCCTGCACATCGAGCGAGTCCTTGTGAGCGGTCCCCATAGCCGCAGAAGATGAGTCGACTGTCAACTCCTCTTGTAAGGCCATCAGTCGTTGGACTATAAACACATCAGAATATGCTACAAGGTCACAACAAGAGGAACGCACCAGTCATACTGTTTCCGAGAAGCTGGAGCTGAGTTACGGAGACGTTGAAGTCAGTTTTGAGCATCCCGCTCAATCGAACTGAGGTCAGCGAGTCAAGGCCATAACTTGCAAGCGGGACGTTGTCTGCAATTTCTTTCACGTCAAGGGCAAGTACCGACGCGCACGCCGCTCGAATGGACCATTCTTCAGTCGCCAGTGCGACTTGAACACTTTGCTTGGTCAATAAATGTCGAAGGGATGACAAATGATATTCGGGTATGCCAACTGCGTCGATTGGTGATGAGCCAAGCACGAGAGGAAGGAAAGTCGGACGCACGCTGCATGATCTCACTCCAGTCGGAGGGAGGAATATAGACCGTGTTGTAGGCGTCAGAGTTCAGCGTCCAGATGGCATTCACGCAGTGTTGCGCAACAAGGTAGCCAGTCATTCCAAGGGATTTGTACTGGAGATGGACATCGAACTCGTCATTGTGATACAGGGAGAGAACAAACAAAAACTTACTTTGTCCAGGGCCGCATTGCGTGCGTCACCTGGAGGCAGGCTTCGGACAAACACACCTCCATCGGTCTGTGCGTTGTGTCCCGTTCATCAATATTTATCAAGGGAAGCTTCATCAGGACTCACGATAGGGGGTACTGTGATGGCGACGGTGTTAGGAAGCGTTGCCGCCATAGTCTCCATGTATGTCTGGGCAGCTGAATAGTTTGCCTGGCCTGATATTCTATATTAGGGTTGAGTCCAATAGTGATGTATATTTACTCACCCGGCGAGCCACACACGGTAGCCATAGAACTTGTGAGGACAAGGAAGTCCAACGACTGAGGGTTGACCGCTTGCAGGAAAACTTCGATTCCCTTGATCTTGACGTCATAAACTAAGGCTCGAGTGAGTATGAGGAATCAAGGTAAAAAAAAAAATAGCCGACTTGCCAGTTTTCCAGTCTTCCTCCGTCTTCAAGTTCGAAAATACCTGGTCGTTAAGCTTGACCGCTAGATAGAATACCCCGGCGACTGGACGCTCCAGGTTCCTGAACAACTCCTTGGTTTTCTCCGCGTCAAGAACGTCTACCGCCCGAAGATCAACTGTTACCCCAGGCATTCCTCGAAGATAGTTGACAATCTTTCTTTCGCGTACGAGTTGCGCAGTTGCGATTCCCTGACGAAAATATATTTCAGAGGCCGCTAGCAACATGGACACACACTATACCTTTTCCCCAGATCTTGAAGTTAGAACCAGATGTTTGGCCCCATTTTCCACCAGGCATCGTGCAATGTTGACACCCAGTCCGCCAATACCGCCCAAAATTACATAAGATGCCCGAGGATTGAAAATAGCAGTTCCTTTGAGCATTCCGCCTTTCAACACGGGAAGTTCTGGGGAAATTGCCCGAAGGTCAACCAGAGCAACACGGTCTAGTGTTGAATTGTGCTCTTGGACGTCGGCGTTCATGAGTTGTGGCAGGCTGTAGATGTCTATGGATGGAGTTAGGGTAGCAAGAAGAGCAGCTGCAAAGACTTTGTCGGCGCGATCAAGGTCATTAGCAGCCTCTAGAACAACATGCTCCTCAACCGAGACATAACAGCGGCCGGGAGGAAGAGACACAGGTAGCTTTCCTCCAATTTGAACAAATCTGCCTCTAGGAGAAAGCATAGAAAGTGTTTGCTTCGCCACGTCAACGTCCTCGTCGAAATTGAATACGACATCCACGCCTTGTGGGGCCCAAGCGCGAACATGAGATGACCAAGCATAGTACTTGGAAGATGAAGACGGAGACAGCGCGTTGAAGGTGTTGGTAGAAGATGTTGCATCACTGACGGTGACAACAACGTCGAAGGAGTTGGTACTCAAGTAGGCGTATGTCGCGAGCGCAGCAGGTGAACAATGGCCAGCGTGAAGGAGGATCTTGGTATTCTTCGAAGAGCTGCCAACAATATCGACGACGATCAACGATAGGAACATAAGCTTTCCCACTAAAGCGGCGGCCATGGCTGTTTCCATGTCTTGAGGAACAAATGCAAGCTTTGAGCGATCGCAGACGATGGTACTCCCGGGGTCAGACAAAGCAACGCCGTATACCCTATGCGAGCCCATGCGTCAGAAATAAATTCCCGTAGGATTGAGATCACATTACCTGCGCCCGATGATATTCTCTTCTAGTACACCAGAGCCGACGGCTGTCACAACTCCAGCAAATTCGGTCCATCCAGACATAGCCGGAGACAATCCAATGTAGTGAACTGATACTTCGGCATCATTCAATCCAAGCTCAGCTGGATACGCTCGCCAGACATCGGGGCCTCGGAATTGAACCGGGTTAGAACCCCGAAGTTCCTTGCGAGAGGCGGGAGAGGCCTTCACCAGACGCGGCACGTGCATCTTTCCGTCCTGGTCAATCATCACTTCGGAGTCTATCCAAGGCAACGGTAGAAGCTGTGCGTGTACATAAGCCTCTTGCGCTGCCACCGTCCACGAATCGGGAAAGAGAGCGAGATAAATCTTCCATGTCGGGTATTCCTGACGGAGCGTTCTTACTAACCCAACCGCGGCTGCATCACTCGGGGACGTAGTGGTGTAAAGCCAGAAGAGGTACGGGTACGTTGGATCCAATGAGGAAATGAAGTCGACGAGTGCAACTTCCCCTCCATTGGTGAAGTGTCGGAGCACTACATGAGTGCTACCAGCGTGTGTTGAGGCGGGCTCTGAATCCTCTTTCCTGCTCCAACTGAAGAGCGCCGCGGCATCTTCAGCCTTTTCGTCGCTGTGCAGTTGTTTAACAGGAGCAGGCAAAACCTCGATTGAGTAAGGAGGTAGAGCTATAGCTATTTGGTCGTTTTCCTGCGTTTGAGCGACTAACAATGGTGAGTTAGAAAGGGGGGAGCTGCGCTTGCTGGAATCGAGACTGGGTGTCGCAGAAGATGAGATACTGGGAGGGAGCGAGATAGAGAGCTGACTGATGAAAGTCATATGGGACACTGCGCCACCGTCCGAAGTGAAGAGAAGAGTATCTGAGAATCCAACCTCCGCTAGAGCATCTCTCCATTGCGACGGAGTTAATGTGCAGTGAGCAGACCCAATGCGGTCATCCACGACACCAAACCACTCCTGGAACGATCCGAAGATGAAATCCATCCCTGTTCACAAAATATCAATTTCTGAAGTAGCTAAGACAGAAGAAGGAAACTTACAAATTGTGCCTATCGCTTTCGATGCGAAACAGCCACCGTCCAGCTCCAAGATAGCAAGGTGACCTCCAGGACAGAGAAGGTGTCTGAGTTTCGTCAAAGTCGCATGAATGTCAGGAGTAGCATGCAGAACATCAAAGCCGACAACGATGTCGAAACTGCAGGGATCAAGGTTCTGTTCACTGATCGCGACGTTGAGATCAAAGGCTTTGGCCATAATCGTCGGCCAAGGGGACTTCGCTGTCGCCTCATGTGCGAGCGAAATACTGACATCTGTGCAGACGTAGTCAACGTAGCAGCCTTCAGGCAGGGCAGCTGCCAAAAGAGCTTCCCCAAGCAGTGCGGTCAACCTTCCGGTTCCTGCTCCAACTTCAAGGACTCGGACTACCTGCTTCCCAGAATGGAGTGCTTCTGTGACAAGGCTGATGAAATGCGATGTGGTTTCATCAAATACAGAACCAATGAAAGGCGGATGCTCGTAGATCTGGCTCATGACATCATCACTGAAAAGCAACTCAACTGCAGCAGTCGACGAGACCATGATGTCTATAGAGGAACTAGCATGAGATAAATTTATAGAAAGACAGATGAAACTGGCCAACCTTTTTGCCCGGCTCCAACTCTCCGAGTGAGCTCAAATAATGATTTATATTTTTCTTGCAGTTGAACAGGGACTAAGGCAGCATCAGCGCTATTCCCGTCCAACTTTGCAGCCAGCGCATTTGCCCAAGCCAAGTAACGCTTGCGATCAGGTGAGGTAGGAACGAAGTCGTGAGGTAGAGCACTGTATGCCATTATCAGCTGCCGATATTATCAGAAACAACAGCTAGACGACGAACGTTATTGTCTTCTTAGTAAACTGCATTGCCAGCTGATCCAGAATGCGCAATAACTCTATGGCGTCGGAATGTGGTGGCGGGCCTGGAAGAACAATTGAGCTTTCGAGGTGAGACTGTGGTAAGTCTCGAGGCTGCCATAACATCTTGAAGTGTTCGCTAGGCCACTGATCATCACGCTGGACCAACGCAAAGCGGAACCCTTATCACGAAACATTATTCATACGAAAGCACAAACGAAAAGACAGACCACATACCTTCCACCGTGAATATGACCGACTGATCTTCACCCAAAATGTAACAGTTCACTAGGCAGTGGTAAGGCGACCACTCTTGTAGGACGGTATAAGCTATAAATTCTTCCGGCAAGACCAGCGGAGCGGTACTGCCATCATTGCGGAAGATACGGCGAACAGAGTGCGGCAGCTGTAGGTCAATATAAATGATTTGGGTGGGAAGGCTCATTAAAATTAAAATTTACCTGTAGTTGTCCGTGCTTGGCACCAAGATGCAGTTTATCACCAATCTGAACGCACAGTTTGAGTATGTATGCTTTGATGAAGAGAGGTCTCACGCACCAGGTTCCATGGAAAAATTGTCTAGTGACAGTCCAGTGGAAATTAGAACGACAATTATGTGTGAGGTGTCATACATACCTGGAAGATAGCATCTAAAAGGGCAGGATGGAAGGCGAAGTCTGTACGATTCAAGCCATCTACGTGGCCCTTGATATATGTCAGAACTTCCTTTTCATTGCACGACGCTTTCAGGATACGTGTGAACCTGTTGAAAGGATCAGACAGACTCTGTTACGGCTATAGGACGGGACCATACTCAGGACCAAATTGCGCCAGATCCTTCAAGTGATCGTAGAGGATGTCGCGACCAAATGTGTAGGGGCAGCGAGACAGTACCTCCTCAAGATCGACTTGTGTGATCGCATCTGACTGCAATTCAGGACGACCATAACCCAACTTTCCATAAGAGTGGAGAGTATCGAAAGAAGGACCTGTCCTCGTCCATTCTTTGTCCCCTTGCGGATTTCCCACCTGAGACGACGACTTCACCCACCAAGAGTTTCCTTCCCGGGAAACTTCCAATGTCCCAGGTGGTCCTGACTCATCCAAGACATACATGGCCTCGAATCGGCAGTCGTACAATTGAGTGACACCCGGGAACTCCATGGCCATTTCTAGGTAGGCAGCCGCGGGAATGAGATTCTGCATCAGGAAACATAAGTTAGTAGAAACAGCTCGTGGACAAATTTGCCTACGGTATGATCAATAACATGCTGGCCCATCCACGGTTCAGGAATGATCGGGCTGACGCGAAGCCGAACCGAATTCAAAGGCCGTTGCGGGGGTAATTGTTTGCGAATGTATGATGGCTCATCCTTGCCGAGGCGCCAGAATTTAGGTTGGAATGGATATGAAGGACCCTCGATATTTGCATCTGGGCATCCAGTAAGTTCCGAGAAGTTGATCTGTAACCAGTACAGAACAGTGTTAAAGCCAGCTAATCTTGCGAGATACATAAGCAGCCGACCTTATTAACACCGACCAATAGCAAACGCCCCAAAACTTCTAGCAGTGTGCGCACTTCGATCAGGGCACTCGATCCAGGTTTTATATGGCGAGCAGACGGTGGACGTTTGCTGCAGGCGAGAGCATCAAATGCACCCATTTGCTTAATATACTGTGCTCATCATTGAGTTAGGCATTCGGAGGAATATATAAAGTTGATCACTTGCCTGAGATAGAACGGGATGAGGGGAAACTTCGACAAATGTAGTTGATTCGCCGAGTCCCTCAATTATTTTTGGGATCGCTGAAGAGAAAAGCACAGGTTGGCGCAAGTTGTTCCACAAATAATCAGGCGTATACGAGTCTGTTTTGAACTCGGCGGTGACTGTGGACATCGTCCGAATCTTGGGTACATGGGGACCGGGATACTCCGCGAAAATAGCAGCTAGGTCTCGGCGATATTGCGACTCGCAGGGATCGACGAAGGGAGAGTGGACGGCGGTATTGATGCGAAGTTTGCGCGCGACGACATCGCTCACCCATCTCTCTATGAAACTTGCGAACACCTCTAAATGTTTCTCTGAACCGGATACACCTATATCTGTGGGGCTGTTGAATGACGCGAGGAACAGCTGTCCACTCGCCGAATCGACATCCAGCCCAGCCAGCGTAATCGCCGTTTCTGCATGATCGCGTACTTTGTCTGCGTCACAACCAGAAACAGCCACCATACCGCCCCCGGTGTTGTCCACCGTGGAAAGAGCCTTTCCACGAGCAATCGCTATCTTAACGGCCATCTGGGCGACGAGAAAATGACGTTAGTCTCGTATGAAACACGCCGAGTAGCGTACATACGCTACGTGGCACTGCGCCTGAGGCATACAAGACGGCTGTCTCTCCAACCGAGTGTCCAACAATTGTATCTGGCTTCAGATTTAAAGAAGTCAAGAGATCGAATAGCGCAATCTGGAAGAATGTGAGAGAAATGGAGGTGATATCGGAAGGCCATATCAAGCTAGCGGCCAATCCAGAATCCTTGGGTGCATCGGTCTTGAACAGACCTGTCGTCTCGATGAAAGACTCTCCTGTGTACTCGGTATGCACCTTATCGCAGTCATTGATACTATCGCGGAAAGTTTTGAAAGTGCTATATAGCTCCCGGCCTTGCTTCCAGTGTTGCGGACCCTGACCCGAGAAACAAAAGACGAGAGGATGAGGACGTTTGGGAACGAGAACTGGTTCAGGAAATGTTGCCGACTCGATAGATTCAGCGATTGAAAAGGACCTCCATGGGAGTTGGCGTGCACGGTTTCCCAAGTGCTCGCACAAGGCAAGAGGGTCAACTTCAGCGCACTCTTCCTTGTATTTTTCGCTGAGAGTCACACATCCCTTCAGGGACAGAGCACCTGAATCGACGTCTCGGTAAGTTAACAAGGTGATATCGTTGGATGCTTACCAACAGCAAAGAGGTACAGTGGCTCTTGCAAGGTAATATGACCAGGTAAAGTAGGCCGCGGTTCGTGTTCACGTAGAACAGTATGGCCGCCGGCACCTAGAGAGCACATAATTTTGAGATTTTAAGAAGAGGTGAGGGCGCTGCACGAACCTCCAAACCCATAGCTAGATACAGATGCAATTCGACCGAGTTGGGGATTTCCGGGTACAAAATCCTCGACAGACACGGGAACACGTAGCTTGAACTTCTCAAAATCAATTCGGGACGACGGCTTCTTGAAGTAGCCATTAGGCAGGACTTGCTTCCTTTCCAACATCATGGCGACCTGAAAGGAAGGATATTATTACCACCGAGAGACGATTCAATGTTTTCTGGGAATTGCCAACCTTCACTAAAGACGTCATATATGCGCTTCATACAGGGAAGAAATGAGCGAAAAAGACTTCATCAAAGGTGTGAGGGCACTCACCCCAGTTCACCATGACCAACATTACTCTTCACGGATCCAATGAGGATCTCTCTGGAGTCCCTCTTCGCAGCAAAGACGGCACCGGCATTGTTCGCTTCTGTCGAATCACCAACAAGCGTACCTGTGCCATGGAGCTCGACGAAATCAGCTTGATGAGGCTCAAGACCAGCGTCTCGATATGCAAGCCGAATCGCCAAAGCCTGCGCCTCGGGACTCGGGGTCGTGAGGGAGCCCATGATGGAACCGCATGAAGTCAGGGCCGTACCAACAAGCGTCGCGTGGATGCGGTTGTGATCTTTGACGGCGAGATCGTGGCGCTTGATAACAACTGCGCTGGCTGAGAAATATGTCGACATCACATGGCTGTGCAGAGTGTGTGTGTGGTGATATACGACGTACCGACATCAGCACGCGCATACCCATTACCATCTTCGTCAAAGGACTTGGATATGCCATCGGGGCTGAGCACACCCAACTGACTGAATGCCACGTAGTCAAGTGCGCTTTGGATGATGTTGACACCGGCTACCACAGCTTGGTCACATTCACCGTTGCGGACGGCTTGGACAGCAACATGCATCGCTGTCAGCGCGGACGAGCATGCAGTGTCTATGGGCATGGATGGACCGAGTAGATCAAACACGTAGTTCAGTCTGTTCGCAGCGATTGAGTTAGTGGTTCCCGTCATATAATACGCTGAATTTGCTCGAGATTAGAAGGCGCTAAAACGAATGACAAGGGACGTACGTCCTGCTTGTGCTATGTCCATTTCAAATACAGCGCCCTCAGCAGATGCTGCGCCCAATCGATCAATCTAACTGTATAAAAATATCGACGAACAAGGATCTTACCGGAGCCAACGTATACACCAGTGCTTGTAGCACGATAGTCGATTCCGCTGCGCTGCAACGCCGTGAATGCTTGATGGAGCCTGAGTAAGCAATGAATTAGACATGGAGCGGGACTTCAAGTTTGCTTTTAGTCACGTACAGAAGCATTTGAGAGTTAGATATTTGTTGGCTTTCCACAGGAGTAATGCCGAACTCTTGAGGATCAGCATAACTAATGTTAGGAATAAACCCCCCCTTGGTCTATTGCACATATATCAGCGATGGTGCGCTAGCCAAGAAAAGTGACAACTTACGGTGGAGATCTTTCCCGGCCCAGTGCCATGAAAAGCTTCGGCGTTCCATCTATCTCCAGGAGCGGTAATAATGGCGGATCCTCGGTTTTGGAGGAAAGTATAAAATTCCTCAGTATCAAGACCATAGTCAACACCACCAGGTGCATTGATCGACATGCCTGTTAAAGACGAAAATGTCATCGAATGCAACACAGAGATAGCTTCGAGCGCACTCACCGACGATAGCTACGGCGTGAGGGTCCGGATTTGTGTAGCTAGGGATATCGCGAGCGACATTCTCTAGAGGTTGCTTGTGCATCATTGTGATAATAGAAAACTGGTGTCAGGGACGGACGCACAGTGCACAGAGAGCCAACTTGGATGGTTTATAAGTGGTGATCGAACGCGCAGACCAATACAACTGAGGATTTCTGTCGTCAGGGTTTTCAAATCCCCAAACAGCGCAAGCGTGCAACACGCATTTCAAAAAGTACAGCTAGAGCAGAGGATGGACCATGGATAAGCTGCCGAAAGCTCGGCTTTGCTATGTTCGGGGACAAATGCACCGGCAGGATGGGATGGGAGGCAGACATGATGGTGGCGTACCTGTTGCCTGGAGCAGAGGCGTAGAGCGACAGTGCTCCAACCATATCAGTGCGCTACTGGCGGTACTCGGCGAGCTTGGATGCACACTCTCCGAGTTGAGCACGGAGCACTGAACCTCGATTAAGCCGCCGTCCCGACCTGGCTCCTCTGCCTTTTCGGCGTTGGAGCTCTACATTTGGCCCTCGCCCGAGATCAACATGTATGGAGACATCAATTCTTGTCAGTGGCTAAGGGAATGTATCGCGCGCTGCCCCAGAGGCGTCTTGGGGAGAGCGACCGGCGTGGTGTCAGCGTTGATGGACGAGCGCACGTATCTAGGACTAGCCATCATTTGAAGGCAGCTGAAAAGTGTGCAGAGCCTTCGGGAGCAAGATATTAAGTTCGTTCTAATTTATTTCAATGATTGGGCTGATGTTCCAGCGGTGAAAGTGTCGTCTTCTAACTCACCGCAACTTGGGGCTCTGCCAGTGACCGAGCGCAAGACAGGAAAAAGACCTATCATAGGCGCCCCGGAAGCTTCGGGTCTGACAAAATATCAGATGTGGAACCCAGTCTCTGTGCAACCGTCGTATGTGTGGCCATCTGTCTACCGTATTGTGGGCAAGGAATGAGGCCCCAGGAGAGCTTTGGGGGACTACATACGTAGTCACTGCTACCCTTGTACAACGCTCACACGGCTAAGTTTGGACTGAACGTAAGTTAATCTCACTTTCCCAGGGTTTAGACCTATCTGGGAAGCTACCGCTGCCTTGCCGCTGACTTGCTACTGACCTTCAAGTTGTTGTAAATACTGGTCGACGGAAACTACAGTAACACAAAGCTCTTTTGATATCCACAGCCTGGTCTCGTACCCGGACGTGTCGAAGAGACCGCAGCCCGCGCTGGCAGGCATCACTCACCCTGTCCTCTTCGGCTGTCAGACTCGGCAAACTGGTTGAGCTTGAACAGGTCCGCGCCAGATGAGTACTGCCAGATATCCGAGCCGGGCTCGATATTTGGCAACAACTTCAAGGAAGCAGCGCACCCGGGATTTCCGCAGCCCTGGGTTCAAACCACAATCACAGCCCCGAAGCTGGACAGCTGGCGTCCCGATCCGGACCAACATGATGCGATTCGCGACCGGACATCAATCATTACTCCTTAGGTTAGAGCATGATGACGCAGTCAGACCCTTTTGGTTATGTCGCGTAGCAAGCAAGCTTCAGTGTCTCCCTGTCGATACAATTTTCAAAAAGAAAACAACTATATCTCTCGTTGTGTACGCGAGGCTCTCTTGAAAGTATATCGATACTCTTCGGTTTTGGAAATGCTCTATCACACAACTGAGCCTCACTAGTACATTTTTATTTCGTACGGACCTACTTGCTTACAGGGCGATAAGAGTTACAGCGCTTTGCAGAAGGATGGCCTCCAGAGTGGTTCGAATACTAGTGCTACGGCAGGGTATCTGTTGATAACAGTGCCGTTTTGTCGGATTCGATCTCCGCATTAGCATTCAGAGACGCTAATAATCCTACGGATTGGCATCTTCTAACATCCGCGCTCGCCACGCAAGCCCGTCGGGACAAATGCGCTGGAGGTGGCGCCAAACCTTACATTTCGGTGGCCGTGCCCAATCTGCAACTTAGCGCTCAGCACCGATACGGCGGCGCGCACGTCCTGCTCATTTGATTGTCGGCGGGGCTTGGAAGTTTACAGACTGATTTTACGGAATCTCATCCACTATCTTCCGACGCGCATTCGAAACAATTTCATGTATTTGGAATGAATTAGGCTGTCTTTCTTGTGTGCCTGACATCGTGTCTGCACCCGTCGACCATGCAGACTAGTGCAACCCCCCGATGCTTGGCCGAAGCACTCGGGCAGTAAGGCACGGCTCATCCATTTGCGCTCCGGTACATTTGGCGCACAAACTTGAAGTTTGGAAACAACGGCTGGCTACTGTGAATGCTGCCAATCATCGACTCGATACAACAGGTTCAGCAACTGTTGTTGAACGTGTTCACTGGTTTCGTCACACCTTGGGATCAAATAATTGTTGAAGACGGAGACAGCTAGATCAATCATCAGGACGTCCTCGAGTTGGACAACATCGTGTGTATGTCTTCGCCGCATCACGGAACAGTGGATTTGTGCGTCAACTCACAGCGCTCTCAGATAACTAGCTCATAACTGAGTTCATGTTGACGAAAGGAGTGCCGCTACTCTGGTATGGTTCCCTAGGGGAGTTAGTACTTTACGAGCTACATCATTCATAATGTCTGACATGTACACACCATGTAGTTCCGCTACGACAGATCCCCGCGGAGGCTTCACCCGAGAGTGAAGACGCTGTCTGTCGATTTGAAACCTGTTAGCTGATTTGTTGGCAACCGCGCAGCCAAATCATGATGACGTTTAGGGCTTGTCGAAGGTTGCGGGGCTCCGGAACTCCGGCCTCCATGATGCCCTTCATTTATGAGCTCCTGTGAAGACAGGACGTCCAAGCTACGGCGAATAGGGAAGGTGGAGAAGAATACTGCGTTGCAGTGCGAACAAGTAAGTATTTCCTCACAGCTGTGTATGATAATGTACATTGAATGCGGAATAGACGGACATGGGCGCTACTGGTTCTGGGATACTTCATTCTCGAGCCGACGTTCGTCCGAAACTTCAGTCTCATGGGGCCGGGCCAACTTTCCATCGGACTGCGGGAGTCGGCGGTGGTAGATTTGTTCGTGATGAGATACGGCTTCTTGGCTAAGTATATCGTGGGTGGTGTGCCAATATCGTGTTCATGGCACCACCAGGGGAGGCTTAGTGAATAATACGGACAAGGTATGGTGCGATTGCTTGATCAGTGCACTGAACAATACCTTGCGCGATTCTGCAACATCAAGATGGTTCCAAACGACCCGCTAGGTGAAGCAGTCTCATGCTCCGTGCTGGGCAGCTCTTATTACCTCCCCCCACACACACACACTGCTCTTGTGTATCTGGATAGCTGTTCGCGCAGGTCTCCCTCTATGTGAGTTTCGCTTGTGGGTCAGTCGCCACACTCGATCTCACTAGGAGGATTGTGTGAGCACCACATTGTCGCTTTGAACCTCGGCAATGGTGTTACGAATTTCCTCGCCTCGATCTGTGCACACCACTATCTCATCGGCCGCGACGAGCATTCAGAGCTGTTCACTGGCCGCATTTTAGGCTCAAGCTGCCGAGACCAGCGTGATGTTGTGTTTGGGTGGGGCATGACGGGTCTTGTTGCTCTCAGAAAGCCCAACATAGGCTTGTGGGACCGCATCATGTCCGTGCGTCTATCCGTTTCTTTATTACCTTGTTGGCAGCTCTCATGCTCTATAGCCACTCACAGACTATGCGTCCACCTCTGTACCGCATGCATGAAAGACACTGCGGCGATGGCCGAGGCGACCTTCGTTTACCGTCTTGTAGGGTTTCCGCCTTTGATGTCATGTTCTCCTGGCTTTAGCACCGGCAAGTCTTTTACAACGAGCCTGGGCTCATGAACGACTCATGTACCCATTTCCATCAGGGGCCTCACGCGGACCACTTCGTGTTCTACCATCTAAGCAAGCGGCGGTCACTCCATAGACCTGGGCTCATTGTCTTATACCTATTCCTTTCCGAGCTCGAAATCCCGGTATTGCGCGCGTGGTGTCACGGGGACCTGAGCGTCACACTGATCTCAATTTGATGTCTTCGATCCGTAGCGCGGAGATGATGTCACAGACCCTTTTGTGTCCCGCGACCCATCTCTGTTTAATGCAAAACCTCTTCCTCTTAGTCGCGGAAGGGCTCGGGACTGCTCAACGCGACTGTTGAGCTATTCCCTCTTTGTGCTTTAACCAGCGTTTTCAAGAATTGACCAATCAATTCGGGTGCATTGCCTATTCAGGTTGCAGCGTGACTTGTGATGATTCACGCCTTCCAGATCGTCGCCTAAACTAGTCAACCAGATAAGCTTCAAATTCCGCCCAATTTCAACGCTGTCTGACGTCCAACTCAGACATTCGCGCAGATTGGCGAGTCTTTTGTCTTGCATGTCTCTACATAAACTAGTCAAGGTCGCGATTTGCTCGTGGCCTGCCCTCTCGAGACGACGCTGGCCCAAGCCATGACGTAAAAATTGACCAGTCTGTAGTTTTAACTTGCATATTTTGGGGTATGCAGAATGAGAGATAATACCTTCAGGCTCCAAGTATGTGCTTTGTAATTACCTCGGCCAAAGCCGTATGTTCATTCGGGCATTTCACATTTAATGGATCCCTATTCCGCGATTGGACCTTTCATGATGACTTGTTTGCAGTCTTCCGCACACGTCTTTGCCCTGCTCATCAGCATAGCGCCGGTGCGCGTAGGATCTTGACATCAAATCAAGACTTAGGGCTTGGCGGATCGCGCCCACGCACAAACGGAGTCGAAGATGTAGTTGAACACAGAGAGAGCGAGTATCGACGCATTAACCTGCTACCGACATCGCGAGAATAATATCTCAGATGTCTCAATATTGCTCAAATTCATGATTGGGTCGTATGGAAAATGACCTCGTACATACTTACAAAAGCATGTGTATGAGGTGTGAGGATTACGATAGAAGACAACAGAATCGAAGGGAGACAGATTGAGATATAAACAAACAGACTGATACGGCCCGTCCGGTCGTATATCTCAAGTCACCCCGGAGTTTAAGCGCTTCAGCAATGGTACCGTTTGAGACTCCTCACTTACAAGTCGCCACGTCGTTCTTCAATATGCGCATCGCAATTTACTCGCCCAGAAGTTGGTGAGACTCAGTCTCTCTCTGCATGCAGTTTTGCAAGCAGTTATCTTTTTTTTTGGGTCCCGTTTATTGTCCGCGAGGGCCTGGCCCTATGTAGACAAAAAGTACTGTACATGTGCGATCGGTATACGTGCGTTATCGAAACATAGACATTGGACGCGGCCTGAGGTGCAGGGCGCGCGTAGGGCGAAAGCTACGGTACGCAAAGGGGCCGAGAAGTTAGTAGAAACACCAACAAGAAGGGGAAGGGTTGGGCCAGGCCAGCGAACTATGCTACGCTATCGGCACTGGTACGACGGGCTCGCAGAGTCAG